TAATCGTATTCAGACCAAACTTGGTATATGTCATCATAAGCATGACCTGAGGCTACATGCTGCATTTCGGCGCAGCGCCACCTACTGGTTCGGAGATATGAAAAATGGCTATTTTTGCTCATAACTTCTGAACGGTTTGTCCAGAAATCATAAAAGTGGTCTCGGTAGATTCAGGGCGTCATGCCGAGTCGACTGATATATTAACAAATGCATTGCTGTAACATTATGAAACTCAGAATTTGCCACCAGCACCATCCCCTGAAGGCACTCAAAAGATTTTGAGACCGCGCCACCTGTTGGTCAAAATTAAAATTAAATTTCCAAAAATGCTAATAACTTTTTAATAAATATGCCTATTGTGATGACACTGGTCTTAATAGATTCCTTGGGTCATGCCGAGAACATAGACACCAAGTTTGACGTATTTGGACGATTTTCCTGTCCGCCATCTTGATTTTCATTGAATACATGCTTTTTCCAAACTCCTCCTAGGCGGTTTGTCCGATTTTCACCAAATTCAAATCGTATCATCTCCAGACCGTGCTGAATAAAAGTTATGGATTTCGTGTTGATAGACGAAACCGTTTTCTTATACTGCAGCAGCATATTTGAGGCATGTGGCCAAAAGGACTATTCAGGCTTTATATCTGCAATGCCTCGACATATTGACACCAAACTTTGTATGTGTCATTGTCACCTCACTCTGACCACACCATATCAATTTCGTAACTGCGCCAGCTACTGGTCAAAAGTGATAATCCATTAAATCATACTTTTAGTTAATGTATTTGATTTTTCAGCCATTTTACCAAAATTCTCTTAAAATGTCTTTAATTGCTCCTTGCTGCAGTTGATCTGCCACTTCCACCCATGATGGCATCTGTTGCCGCTTCTTGCGCTTGGCCCCGGTAATGGCTAATTGCAGCTATATTTTTTGTAGTATTTTAATAGTCTTTTAAACACACACAACATATTTGTGCAGTCAAAGACACAGTTTTCCACATGTGGATGATAATATTTCTTATCTAAGCTTAAAAAAAAAAAGTAAATTGGCAATGTGCTCTTTTGAAACAAATGTGGTAACGTCTTTAACGCGAATCAGTTATTAGCACATTAACATTTTCCACTCATCAGCCACAATTACCTATGTATTACAATTCATTTTAGATATAAACATCATGAAATATGCCTTTTACAAACATATCTTTCTCTGAAGTTGACTGATTTGAAGCAATGCACCATTTGCACTGCTGTTTCCTGAAGCCGTGCTTGAAAGCAATTCCTTGACTGATTGTGTTTGACAAACAGGAAAAACACGGACCGACTTGGGCAGATAAAATAACCTGGATCGGCAAAACCTTTTAGCTGTACGCTCTGCTAATCACAAAGGCTTTCACAAAGGAACGCAATTGTTGTGTTTATCACTGAAATAAGACGTAATAAAATGCACACGTAATTCAATATTGGTTCATGTTTTTTGTTGTTTCATAACCCAAAAGCTTTAGCATTCTTATTACTAGTGCGTCATCTGAAGTATTTAAGAGGAACCTCTCTGTTTGTGTTTCTGCCACAAACTGATACATCTGAAGTGCTTCAAAATTACAAGCCTATGACAATGATGAACTGCGTGTCAGATGTGATTGTCTTGAGTTTGTGGGTGTCAAGGTGGCGAGCTTCCTCTTCCATTTAGATTTCTATGTCTCTTTCTCTCCCAGTTCAGATTCAGAGTTATGATGGTAAATGCCTCACACAAGTATCTGATTTAATTCAGGGCCAAGGGGCCACAGGTTGAAGACTTTTTTTTATGTGTTTGGCATTGGGGAGACAGTGTGTTGTACAGTATTAACTGTATAAATGCCTCCCTTGGAGAGGAGAATGTGTTAATAACATTTCACTGGATTTCTTACCATCTGTGAAATGCAGCAATGCTGTTAGCGACAACACAGCAAGTCTTGAGGACTGAAACTGTCGGAAAACAACAGCTCACCTGTGTTGTGTTTGCTTCGTTTGATGCATGAACGGAAAATTGCAATTGGAGGCTTGGAGGAAATATAAAAAGTTAAATACAAAAGATACAGGACAGGCTATATCTTCAAACTGTAGGTGATCTTGAAGAGTAGGTGATCTTAAAAATAGCATATATACAGTATGAGATCATACATAACACATGAGATCAAGTTTGACCAAGCATTGCACAATGTCAGGATCAGTTGACACTTCTATAAAGACCCACACTGAATGTCTGCAGATTTGAACAGAATTGGAAAGTCTGTCATCCACAAATTTCTACACGTTCCTTTGTATGTGTGTTTATTATATATTATTTCATTAATAATGCCTAATAATTAGTTTTTGGTAACACTTTATTTTACAGTGTCCTTGTTACATATGTTACATGTACTTACCATAGTAATAACAGTAAATTATGCATAATTACATGCAACTAACCCTCAACCAAATCCTAACCCTACCCTAACTCTATAGTTAATTAATATTACTCAGTACTTAAATATATAATTACACTGTAACAATGACACCTTAAAATAAAGTGTGACCTATTTTTTTTCTCTTTAACATACTACTGTACCATATTTAAATCCATTTAGCATTTACCCCCTACAAAGAGCACAGAAAATGTGAAAAAAAAATCCACAGATTCGTTTGAGCCTGCAAGACTGTGACTTGAAAATCCATTTAAAACAGCCTCTTGATCATATATCTTCAGAACCGCAAAATGATAGCGTCACTCAAGCGTCATATCTCCCTTCCCATCTAGACTTGCCTCAATACAACACTCAATACAATTCAAATGATATGTTTTGTCAATTAATATTGGCGCACAAACCCCCTCGGTCAGCACTAATGCAGGCAGTGATGCAATAAAGCCATGGAAACCCTCCACAGGTTCATCCGGCCGTGTGCAATTGTATTGATCAGAGCTGCAATTAGAGAAGACTATTGAAAAATAATGATTCTCTTCTATACTTATGCATAGATATTGCTCTGAGAGGCTTTTTCGACCGCTTCACGATGTGTGCAAGGCAATTAATGGCTTCTTCTATTTCTCATTATAGTAGGTGTCAGCATCATCTGTACCTGGGGCTCAAGGGCAGTGCAGTCTCCTGAAACACAAACACTGAGCTGCCCTGGCTTTATGATGTGCACATGCTGCTGCCTCCATATTCCGGAGGAACAAAACCGAGCCGCACACTAAATGGGCTTTGCGAGGATTACTTCATTTTCAGTTGTGCAAAACCGTCTTGATGCGGTTGGTATCGGTCTGATCATTTAAATACGATACAATTCAATTTCAGTCACGCTGCAGTGCCGTGATTGGATTGAACTTGCCAGCGCTTGCACTGGGTATACCAATGATAATTACAACTGATGGGAACCGTTTGCGGTGTGTGTGTGTTGCTTGTAATGAGATTCTCTTCAGCCTTATCAGAGATGGTAGTTTTGGGAGACGCTGGCCCTCACCGCTCTTTGTGCGTGTATGTTAATGTGTGTTTGGATGTGTTTGCATATGTCCAAACTTCCAAAGGCTCTTGAGGGGGCTCTCTTATTCTCATTCTCATCACAATCAGCCAGTCAGTATCAAACAGCCTCAAGATACTGTTTTACATCGTAACGCTGCAGATGTGATTGGGATGAGCTGCAGCAAGGGGTGTCATTCAAAGAAATGGCATTGTGTCCCTCAAAATATTTATTGTCGCTAGCTTAATGAGCAAATTAGCGTTACAAAAATAATAGCAGTGTATCACAGTCCGTTTTGATGAAAGATAACTCTTATGCTCACCAAGGATGCGTTTTTTACTGGATCAAAAGTACAGATAAAATTGTAAAAAAAAAAAAAAAAAGACAATTTAAAATGGCTTCTTTTTTATTTATTTGAATTGTCAAATATATTTTGTAACTGTGATGACAAAGCTGAACTTTGAGCATCATTTCTCCAGCCTTCAGTGTCACATGATCCTACAGAAATCATTCTAAAACGCTTATTTTCTGCTTAAGAAACATTTATTATCATTATCAATGTTGAAAACAGTTGTGCTTCTTAGTTTTTTGTGGAAAACGTGGTACCCCCCCCCCCCTCCCCCCTCCCCCCCTTATTCTTTTATAAATAGAACAACGTTTACTTGAAACATAAATCTTTTGTACCAGTATAAATGTTTTACTTTTGATAAATTTAATGCATCCTGTCTGAAAGAAAGTATTTAAAAAGTTCTGACTACACACACCAGTGTAAATGTGGTCAAATAAAGACCACTTTTCACTATATCCAATCAATTCCATCTTTCCAGATTTTTTTTCACCTGTTTCACTTGGAAATATGTCAGATTTCAGAAGTGAAATGGGTTGTGAACATCGTTCCATGTTGATTTGAAAAGGCTTGTCCATGTAGGCTACCAATAACGCTAATGCGCCATGAACAGCGTCTGTGTTCATTTATGGCACGCTTGTGTAAAGTTTGGAAAAAGAAATTCCTTTTTCAAAAGTCCATTAACAAACTTCCCATTTAATCTTTCTCTCCATATTTAGTTCCTTCCCCAACAGACTACCTTTGATTGCAGTTTTGCGGTTGCCTTCAGAGCCCATATGGTTTTCTGCCACTCTGAGTTCTGAGATGAAGAGATACAAAGAGACGTCTGTGGCCCAGTTAATAGAGGAAATGCTTGTTAACTATCCACGATGACTTGAAGTGTATTTAATTGTCAAACAATTTCAGGATTCTACCCTGTGTCAGTCTAATTGTGGTGAATGGCGTATCAGGCAGCGATTCTCATTTACTTTTTTCCAATTCTGGATTTGACCTTTTACCATTCTCATTTTATTAAGAGGTTATCAATGCTTTCTCACCACATGCTCAATCAGACTTCACTGCATTTCAGCTCACGAAACAACTCAAGAAAAGTCTTTGCTGCATGAAATCATTCTGTAGTTTGATATTTATTATACAGTACTTACATATATTACAAATGAAAAAAAAAAATAAAAAATTCCCTGGATGCAGAATCATTTAGTTGGACATTTAGAGAAGATCAGTTTGTCACAGAAAAGCGTCCAATATGGATCCACTTTGTGCTGGAAGAATTACCCAGGAGGAGATTCAGTCTGAAAGCACAAGGCGAGGATGAGTGGCGGGCATCTCGCTAATCCACCTAAAATCCAACAAAGAGACATGTCACAATAAGAGGAGTTGCCACAAAACAAAAGAACTCGACACTTCCTTGGCAACGTATTTCTGTTCTTTGTTTAAACCATCCCCCCAGTGATTTAACCCTCATGTTTTGTGAGAGGATTTTCTTTTCCACAAAAAAGCTAGTTTTTCGCATTGAATTAAAATCTACTGACTTTGCTCACACAGGGTACAACAACTTGCCAATTGTTTTTGTTTATAATTTTTTTACTTTTTGGAGATTTTTTTTTTCAACCTGTTATACTTGTTATACTAGTGTTCCCTGACCAGCATACACAAAATTGCTTATAAATCTCTCGCTATGCTATGTTATGTTATTACCAAATAGTAGATTCAGTCTTTTTAGACTTTTTGACCAAAAGATTGAATACAAAATTTGTGATATAATATAGCATAATTAGAGATTTACAATATTTTTTAAGGCCAGGAAAACCAATATCATGCTATATATAATGAAACCATATGAGAGGAAATGCATCATTTTCAACAACAAAATAAGAGGACAAAATAAAATATATAAAATAGCAGCAATTAAAAAAAATACAAGAAGCTACTATTAAAGTGCCCCTATTATGCTATTTTAAAGTTTCCTAATGTTGTTTTGGAGTCTCCTACAACAGGTTTACATGCATCAAAGGTAAAAAAAAAAAAAAAAAAACGGTTTAATTTCCTCATAATATACATTTGCACATCATCACATTTTCAATGATTCTCAAATGACTCGTCAGATGAATCAATCTCTCTAAATCCCTCCTCTCCGTGAGCTACTCTGCTCTGATTGGCCAGACAGCTCAGTCTGTTGTGATTGGCTTACCGCATAGTGCGCGCATCCGTCGAAAACAAAAATGGCCATTGCCATAACAACGTCAGCTCTGCTTGTCCTGAGGCTTCCTACACCGTAAACTAAAGACCGTAACGAACAATGACGTCGATTTTACCATATCAATCTGAGCCGGGGGCAACCGTCCTCCGCTGCGCATCGGACGGTTCACGCCTCGCCGTCGTCCATTAGTATACCTGACAATGGACACCTCGTCGGGCATTAACCCTTACATACATTGCACTTTCAGATTTAAAACTTTGCAGGATGTTTTCATTCACTTACACTACATGAAAGGTAATTTAAAAAAATTCCATAATAGGGGCCCTTTAATATGATTTATTGCGTATCACTTTTGAACATTAGGTGGCGCTATTACCAAATTGATAGGGTGTGGTCAGTGTGAGGTGATAATGACAATGATATTTGGTGTCAATATGCCAAAGGCTTGCAAGATACAGCCTCAGAATCAGCTTGGCACCATGCCATCAAATTTGAGAACGGTATCTAAAAGCTTTTAATAACTCGCTCGAAAAAGTAGTTTTTAAAAAAAAAATCTAAATGGCAGACTAGTGTTCGTCTAGAGCCAAGGAATCAGAGGAAAAAAATATTTCTAGTCCTTGTGGTTCAAATGTTATTAGCATAAATGTAAGTGCAACTTTGGACAGTTGGTGGCACTAGAGGGGTTGAGTTAGAGACTCCAAAATTGCGCTGGTTAATGTTCAGACTGTCCTCTATCTGTGTGCCAAATTTCATAATTTTGCCGCAAACGTTTCTAAGGACTGCCATAGACTTCAAGAGCAGAAGAAGAATACTAACAGATACATAAGGTGTCTTCGCACCTTCAGTGCTTGGTTGTCCCCTAATAATAACAACTTGTTGTATGTGTAATTCAGTGTTGGCTTAGGAATGGCACCAGGCCACCAGGTGTCATAAATAGGCCATTCATAATTCACATGAAGATTTAAGCATTGTCAAGGGCAAACTAAAACTAAAGCCTCTGTAGCTTTCACTATAGTGACTATAGCTCAATGGGAAGAGAGGTCACATGTTTCATTTCCTAGTTTGATTGCATTCATAAGTAGCTTTGAATAAAAGTGTTGGCCACATGCATAAATGCAACTGATATACTGTATGTTTTCCACTGGTTTTGCCCTCTAATTCCTGCAAAGGTCTACTTGCATTACTGATTAGTATTTTCATTGAATAGATTTTAATGTAGTTTAATTAGGATCTTTGTATATTTGGAATGTAACTAAATGGAATATTTTATGTTTTTGTGTTGAGGTTTTTTATGTAAATAATAATTAATATTAAATAAAAAATACTACTAATAATATTAATGATTTTTAAAGTAAATTCGTCATTATTAAATAAACCATACATGTAACATTTATGTACAATATATGAATATAGTAATATTAAATAATATTACAAATATAAATGTCTTATATGTTTTATTAAAGAAATTATTCATATTAAAATTTTATAGTTTTAGGTAACATTTTAAATAACTTTTTTATTTATATTTCGGTAAAACTTTACAATAAGGTTGTATTTGTTAATAATTAATGGGCTAGTTAACATTAACGAAAAACATCTGTATATGGCATGATATATACTAAATACATTCAATAGTGCATCTTAATATAAATAGCTGCTGAATTCTTTTAGCATTAGTTTATTCATTATCCATAAACATTATCCATGGATCCACTATCCATAAACGAGATTGGACAAAGAACACAGGGCTTATAAACACAAGGTAATAAAGGGAGAAACAGAACAGGTGTGGGGAACTAATTAACAACCATAGAAACAAACCAATGCCGTGTCAAAGAGAACAAAGGAGACTGGAACTAGAATAAAACCAAAACAGAACATACACATGACATTTAATGTTAACAAATTCTATTACAAATATTATTAGTGATGGGTTAGGGGGTTGAATTGAGGAAAGGTGTGCTATTCGTTTTCTTTTTGCCACTAGATATGGAAAAATCCCATAGACTTACATCAAAAGAAGGACCTGAGCCTTACATAATAACCAGAAATCAGTAACCACTCAGAATATCCTTAGTAAAAACACTTAGAACACCAGAATATCCTTAGTAAAAACACTTAGAACACCGTAGCAACTGCATAACAATGCCTACAACACCCTAGTATTGTTTCCTTTACGCAATATAAATATGTAGTTAAATGTACACTATGATACTATATATTTGTATGTTTCTTGTTTGAAAGTACATCTGTAAAAGTAAAGTGTTACGACATCCAGGAGAAACCAGGTTGAAGCGATTTCCACAAAAGGAGATACTAATGGAGAGAATGCCTGGATTTCAAGCTAGTAAATAAGTGCTATCCATAAATTTGACTAATACTTTTGACAGCAACAGCTGGGTGAATTAGTCTTTTGCTTGCAACTCGCAAACATGCAATCAGAGAAGCACTTTTTCCCATTTTCAGACACATTAATCTAAGTCCATCTCCATATCCTAATAAATATTCTAGGTTTGCTTTTCCAGGCATGAGCATATGAGAATGAGCATAATAGTTTTTTAATTCTAGTACGGGTCAATAATAAATATGCAGAAGCCATTCCCTCCTCATGCAATCTCGAAAAGAGACTTTAACAATACAGTGCTTGAATGACACTAATTAAAGTGCTGATTCTGCGGAGGGTTCGAGTGCACTGCAGTGTGGACAGATAATTGTTGTTGTCAGGCGAGTGCAGGTGTGTCACGCGGCTCAGTCTGAATGCATTTGGCTTTTGGCAGACAGTGAGATAGGCCTTTATTTTCATGCTTAATGAGAGAGTGCAGGCGCTAAACAGTGGTCACTGGCATTGCCATTTTCCCATAGTTTTGTTGAACCGCGTTGTCTGAGCCATACTGAGGCTGAATAGGACACTAATTGCAAAATTGTATCAGAAATGTTCATTTCAGCACATTCAAAATTACAGTCGTATTGAGAAAGAGTGAGGGAAACTGTTGCTTTGTTTGTTTTAAGGTGCAGTAAATGATTTCTGAGAAACGTTGAAACTGGATTGAACCGAGCAGCAAAACACACTTGTGTATGACACACAATCAGTAGTATGTCCACTCATGATGGGGGAGGAGACAGAGTGAGCAAGAGGGAGATTTGAAGAAGGACTGTAGAAAGAGATGACTGAGAGGCATTACAAAAGAGAAAATGTCAGAGGAATATCACTGGAAAAAGAAGTGTTATGATCAGACAAGAGCTTTAATATTGGAAAAGCTTTAGAGTGCTGGACAGACCAAAGCGGGAAGGCCTGAAAACGGACGCAGAGGTTGAGTTGTTTCTGCTCCATACGCGAGTGTTACGGGTCGTACAATAAAGACGGTGTTGACGTGAACTTTTGCAGTTGGTAAAAGGAAACCAGCCCCAGCCGACAGATCACCAAAGACACAATCCTGAGTTCCACAAGAAGTATAATTTATTTAAGGTGGTATTAAGGAGCAATGGCTTCAGCGTGCCCCATGGCCAAAATAATAAACAAAATAGACTTGTATAAATTACCTAATCAGAGAATAAACAAAATTACAAAGAAACTTCCCTAACTCCCTATAAAAAAAATCACAAACAAAGGCAAAATAAATGGCAGGACAACCCTACGCTCCTAAAACATAAGAAAGAACTGAATTAAATCATCACAAACAAACGAACATGATCAACAGAAGGTTTTTGGGATCTGCCGACAGGAGGAGGAATCCGTAGCTCTTCACGCCACCAGGCCAACGCCTGAATGAGCTCGACATCTTCGATTAGCGCCGCCCTTTTAAAGCGACCAATCAGGCTCCTCCGACGGCAGCCAATCCCTGCACTCATATACAAAACAACAACCCACACAAAACAGATACCGAGGATCGTAACAGCGAGTAACATTGGTTTTGCTGTGTTTCACAGAACCGAGATTGCTATTGTTAGTGTTAGCTAGCAGGGGCGGATTTAGTGATTTGGGGCCCCCAGGCAAAATATAGGAATGGTGGCCTTTACCAACACATACACTTGGATCATTCATGAGGTTTTCTCTGTTGTGATGCTCGCTGCTGCACGGCGGTGTCCCATAGTTGTTACATTTTTCTAAATTGTTCATGTCTACATGTTATAAAGGCTTT